TCTCTTGGTCCACTGTGAAAAGGGGCAAAATGGAGGACCTTGCAAATATTGTCGATGAGGATACCTTGTCATTCAGGTCTCTGAGCGGAGTGCGATGGCTGTTGCGGCACTAAGCTGTGAATGCTGTTCTGAGAAACGACACTGTGCTTGAAGAGTTATGCAAGAATCCAGTGATAACAGAGATCCAGTGGCAAATTACTGCTACGAAAAGTTGAATTATTTGAAGTTTAAGGTTACTCTCACTGCTCTGGGAGATGCTTTGGGCGATCTGGCACAGCTCTGCTTTTCTTTTCAAAGACACAAGACTGTGATGGAAGGACACTGCTTTGCAAGAGCAAAGATTGAGAAGTTGCGTTCCCTGTACTTGAAGGATGAGAAGGATGTTCAGTAGATTGACCTTGTCAAAGAGGTGATGAGGACCTCTGCAACTGATGGCATAAATACCGGGGAGATTACTCTTTTTATTCGTAAGCTCTGTGATCACTTGGATGCTCATTTGATGAATTAAAAGACTGGTCTGCATTTGACATCAAAGCACTGAGCTCAGACATCAGTCTTGAGTATGGATCAATAGACATTGCTACGATGGCAAACAAGTAAGAGGCCATTATCCACCACCCACATGCTATGGAGGCCATGACCAGTGAATATGCTGAATTCAAGCACATAGTGAAACAAAAACTTAAACAGAGGGTCAATCAGCACATTCTCAGATATGGTGGGGAGATCTCACAGCTTGGTGCTATTTCAAATCAGCATCCAGAAATCGTCTTGAAGTAGCATATTTGGACCAGCTGATGGGCATAAAGTCAAAGCAAAAAGCAGGCGGGGCCATCAACCTGGACAAAGCCTACAACCAGTGGAGAAGTGAGAAGGACAGATGGGCAAAATAAGGTGTCTCAGATCAGATTTGTGCTTATTCTAGTGTCATTTATTAAGAATTTTCATTTATGGATATTAACCATTAAATGCTGTTACTAGATTATGCGTAGTAGAAATACTAATTAAAACAAGTAGGGGTCCTCGGACCCTAAAAAACTGTGTAATTATATTGCTGAATCCTCTGCTTCATGCTCTACCCTCTCTTTTTTGCATCCCCTTTTTTAGCATCTCAATACATGACAAGCAACTCTATTCATGCGTATTTCTTATTTTATTAGTGCATGCCCGAAGAGTACAACAATATATATTTTACAAACAAACAGTTACAGGAATTTACACTGTATCACATGCTTGTGCTACAGCACACTTCTCATCATGCAAAATGTGAATATTTGAATGTGAACAAAACTGGATCTTTGAAAGGTGTACATGTTTCAATTCTTCCAGAGCTGGGCCCTTACCCTGACATACAACATACTACACAGCTCATAAAAAAACAAGATTTTTGTCTTTTTCATTGTAAGTGGGCCAAATCACTAGTATCTAAAGAAATTAGTGGAAATTACTGCTGTAAATTGATTCTTTAAATAAGCCATGTCACTTGTTATGATCTCAGGTTTTGGACAGGTGTGATACTGGTGTGGCCACAGTGTGCACGTCTGATGTTACGTACAGTGGTCCAGTGAATTCTCAGGGAGTTTGTGCATATGTTCAGACATATGAAAAATTAGGGGGAACATTGTCGTCATTGTTTGTGTTTATTTTTCCATCTTTGTGAAGTCTTACAATCAGATTTAGTTCTTCTGGAAATTCTTTTCTATGTGGAGCCAGGATGCAGACATGTACAGTCGTCCTTAAATGTATTCATACCCTCCTATTAAAGAAGGAAAATAACAGCTGTCAGCTGAAATAAGTTGAAATTGACAAAAGTAATAATAAATAAAAAAAAAAATAATGAAAATTGTGACATTGCTTTTAAATAATGGTTCAACAGACGTATTAAAAAAAAAAAAAAACCCAAAACAAAACGAAAAAAAAAACAACAAGCAAACAAGCATGATGGGACCCATAAACTAATATTTTGTTGAACAACCTTTGAGCCAATCACTGCAGTCAAGTGTTTCTGTAACTCTCCATCAGACTTCTGCACCTGTTGACAGGTGTTTTGATTTTGGCCCACTGCTCATCAGCAAAGTGCTCTAATTTGTCCAGGACAGATTTTTTATTTTATTTTTTAAAATTATTCTTTTCAACCACAATTCAAAAGCAATGGTTTATTTCAATGAATTAGAATTTAGTAATTTTTGTATGTATTATTACTTTTTTCAGTTTCTAGTTATTTGAGTGACTATTGTGAATTTTGCCTTTTCTTTAATGGAAGGGAATGAATACATTTGAAGACGACTGTAGATAGACACAGACTATTGGTTCAAAACTGAGACAGTTGTGGTGTTCACAGCTCATTTTAATATCATGTTCAGGAAATGAGGCTGACTGGAAATCACAAATGTACTGAATTTAGTTTCAATGATCACAGGTTTTCTAACTTGTGTGTCAGTGATCACAGTAAAACACTGAATCATTGACATTCAGTGATTTTGGCCAGCGGTGTACTCAGTTCTGTTCTATACTGTAAAAAAATGTATTTAACTAGTAAACACTGAGCTTTGATTCTTCACTGTCTAGCTGTATTTCACAAGCACAAACAGAATATTGTTGAATACTTTCTGTCCTAGTGTTTGCTCACAACCCAGCCAACACTCATGACACTGAAGTGTGGGTTGTCCTGTTCACATTAGCCTTACTTTTTTCTCTACTCAGGTCAGAGACACGTCTGACAGGGAACTGACAACAGTATAACAACTTGTTGTGTAGTTACATTTATTGAAAAAGTCAATGCTCTGACTGACAAAATCCAAACAATAAGGATTTGAGAGAACTAGTGCCCCTCTAGTAAACACGTACATAAACATTTCATCTTAAAGGACCAAGATGCAGCCCATAAGGAGGAGGTTGGGGTGGTGGAGGGCTCTGCAGCAGCTCCCAGTGTTGACAGGAAAGTTTTAGCAGAAGTGAAGTGAGAATGTGTGTTGTACACCTGCATGCAGTAGTCAGCTGATCAGAAACATGACTGAAGCAGCTGATGCCTACTGACGCGTGCCTGAACAGATGTCTCAATAAATTATTAACACCTAAATCCTACTTTTTTATCAGTCTGTAAAATATTGGTTCTGTTGTAGATTACAATCCATGTTGACTGTGTGTGTGTTTCACTTGTTGACCTGCAGGTTCAGTGCTGATGGGAACGACATGCAGTGAGCCCTGCAGTGACGACTCTTTGTCAGATATAGTAAGCCTTATTCCTTCTCTTTTATTCTTTTTCTAGACCATATCAGAGAGCAGTTCTGCATCTCTTTACCACGATCTGCTGTTTAACGACCTCATTCTAAAGCATCAGTTCTCCGTATTGATGATGTCACAAAACTCCTGTTTTAAGTGCAGGTTCAGGAAAAGTTCTGCAGTGATGTCATGAAAAGTTTAAACGTGACTGTGTGCTTTCATCACAGCACAGCCAGACAGCCTCAATGAAACATTAACAAAAAAAATGAACACTATTCAGTTATCAGTGGATAATAATTCACTGTTTATCAGTAAACCAAACCAGTGTTCTGTTATATTTCACTCAATATATGTGCTGATTCACCAGTACTTTGGATATGGCAGCTTGGACACTGGGAATCTGTGATGGGCAGTTTTCACTGTTTTCTAAAATTCTATCAGAGAATTTAGTGATTAATAGTTAATGAAAGTAATCCCCCCTGCGTACCTATAAAACCCGGGGTACATTGCCTGAGGAAACCTACAAGTTCGTGGTGTCTTCATTTCTACTTGACTGACACACACATCCTCCATCCCTCCAAACTGCCTGTCTGCTTTCACAACTGCGATTGGATACAGTGTATTCCTCCCACCTGTCGTCAGTTTCACCAACAGACTAAATCCAGCAGTAAACTCATCAGCGTAACCGTGGAGACAGTGTCCTTGTCTCCGCCTCTCCTCAGCACCAGCTTGTGTTTCAGTGTTCACTGCTGCTCTTCCTCTCCTCCCTCAGGCTGTGGGTCTAGGCCTGGACTATGTCATACTGGGAGGTCTGAGCGGTGCTCAGAGGATGCTTAAATACAACCGGCTGATTTCTATAGAAGAAGAACTGGCCCAACAGGGAATGCTGGGTAGGTTTTTATACTACTCCCTTGTCTCTTTTTTTTTTAAGCTGGATGAAGAAAAAGGAGGCCAGACAAAGCCAGAGAGAGAGAGAGAGAGAGGGAGGTAGTAATGCCTGAGCTCAAGAACACATCTCTCTCAGTGCTGGATGTGAAAAGAAACTGTGTGTGAGGAATTATACAAATGTGTATTAGTGTGTGTGAGAGGAAGAATGAAAACCCCCTACCTTGGATCTGTTAATTGGCCGTCTAATTACACACAAGGACAAATACTTCCCCATCCATCATTTCCAAAAACGCAGGCAGGGACACCAGAGGGTTAATGAGCGATGAGTACATGTCTGTGTGCAATCAGCTGCCATCAGCCAGGTTTATTCAGCATGTTTATCTCTGTTTAATGTTTGTGTTGATACTGCACGCTGAAGCCCAGAGTGGCCTGAGGTGGAGTGAAAGGCTCAGTGTGCTTTCGCTGCGACAGCACAAAATGTGATTTCAGTTCAGTTATTGCAAACGTCTGTGGTCCAGCTTTTGTGCATTCAGTTTTTTTTATTTTTATTTTGTCTCATCCACAGCCTCTAAAGAGAAGCTCCCCCCTCCACTGCTCCATGGAAAAACACAGGAGCAGTCGGCCGCTGCAGAGAGAACCGTCTGAAGGAATACAGCTCAGAGCCTTCAAATGTGTGTCAGTGCTACCTTATTAGATTATTCTAGTGTTACCATTCTGTTTTATTTTATAACTGTGGTAAAAAAAAAAAAAAAAAAAATCAATCTGAAGCTATTCAGAGAGAGGCTAAGTGGCCAGACATGACCTTCAGTATAGCAGTTTTTGAACCACCCCAAACATCTTGTTGCCACTTCAGGTATATACAAGCTATATTAGCAGGTGCTCCACCTCCTTCTACAAACACAGGTCTGCTTTCAGGTCACATTCAATCAAAATTCTCCGAACACAGGAGCACTCATCAGCCTTCAGTATTCGCTATAGTGTGAACAGAAGAGAAGCCCTGGTGGAGGTCATCATTCTATGTGACCACATTATATGAATGCTGTTTGTGTCTCTTATTTACACATTTTAGTCCAAAAAAAAAAGACATTCGGTTTCTAAAAGGTTCAAATATGCATTGTTGTCAAGTTAGAAAATTAGCAAGTATATTCACATGCATTTTTTTCCACATTTAATTTGTGTAGTACTGACAGCTCAGTCCTTGGCCTTTTTGGTATCACTTAGAAAATCCTCCGAAGCTACATGTAGATTAGTGATTTTTGACACCTGAAAAAAAAGCTATGCCGACTGTGGATGGACCCTTTCTCACACTTTCACACAAACGTGTATTTTCTGCTTTGCTGCTCGATCGTTTATCTCACAGAGGAGCAAGCAGTATTATCTTACAACGCCCCTTTGTTGTTCTGACCCCTGCTTGGCTCGAACCAGTGATCTAGAATACCACGAGACAGTAAAACATTTCACTGAATACAAAAATATTTGAACAGCTCTAAAAGGCACTCATCACGCTCATTTATAATTTTGGAGAAGAACTAAAAGACATTAGACCATTCTGTAAATGCTGCACCTAAGCCTAAAATTATCTTTTTATTTATTTATTTAGAATGATTGTGTTTGTGAACAATAGGTTTCTTCTTGCTGGAAATGACATAAACAAGTGACAAAAGACATTCCTACTAAAATGCCATGTCCAAAATGATTCATACTCTGTCTCCTTTATTTTCTAGCACATCAATCAAACAGTTGCTATAATTGCAAACAGTCCGTTTGTGTCCTGTTTGTGAGGATTTGCACGTCTTGATGCTTTGCACTATGGTCACTGCTTACATTGACTCCATAGTCTTGTTTAATGAGCAGCCACAATGTGCAGCTCACTCTCACTGATGAAGCCTAACAGCAGCTCACTGAGCTCTTTGGTTTTGGTCATCATTTGTTGTTGACTGGTAACCGACTAGAGAACCTGCACATCAGCTATTCTCAATTTATAGTGTATTAGAACTTGGTAGAAATGACCACGACCATTTGGAATGGTGTCGAAGCTGCATTTACACAAAAATCTGAGACAATTTCAAGTGGTCTGAACAGTTTAATTCATTTCTCTTCAACATTTCCAGACACAATATCTTAGCATCTTTTGTCATTTGTTTTTTGTCAGAAACCTTTTTAAATCAAGTCAAATTAAACCTGTCTACAAACCAAAATCCGGAATAGGGAGGAATAATTTTGGGGTTAACTGTATCAGGACAATTCAAACATTATATTATCATACTAGAGTGCGACAGAATTCAAATAGTTATTGAGTCATTGTGCTCATTTGGCCAGTGAACGCTCTGCTTTAATAAAAACAGGGTATGAAAGGGCTGTAAGAAGCCGTGGGAGGATAAATGCCAGAGAACACACCCACCCACACACAGCTGTGACAGTGTTGTCCAACAAAGCCTGTCTCCCGTCTGTGTGGAACGTGTGAGAAAAAGGCCCCTTCATAACTGGTCAGCACCTCTGCTGACCCCTCTCATGGCTCCTCAGTCTGTGGAGGAAGTGATTCTGTCAGTGTGGAACAACAGGAGAAGAGAGGCCCGCCGCAACGTCTCCCTGTCCTGTAGCACTGAAAAAAAAAGGCTGCTTGTACACAGGCGGGGAAGTGGAGGCGCTTCATGAGTGCTTTGTGTACCAGACACATACAGCTGCGTCTGTGGGCCTGTCAAGTGAGTTATCCCTGATTCAAAGCTGTTTGCTGCGAAACAGACAACAGACTCTGCTTACACTACAATTGTCCTGCTTAACTTTTTAAGGTTGCAAAATGAAAATGTAGATTGAATTATGTTGACAGGAGGTTCAGTTCAGACAAAACAGTAAACAGGACTAGTTAAAATGGGCAACTCCTCCAAAATTGACTCCCCACGAACCCCAAAAGCCCTGACTTTGCTCCACATTGTGTTTACTACATAACTGAATTATTCACAGATTTCCTGCTAATGTGCAGAGCTGGAGTACATTATCAGCTCTTCTGTGCCCCCAGTCTTCAATCCTATGGTCTTGATCTAATGTCAGCGTACCAACATCCAGTTTGAAAATCTGGTTTACATTGAGCTCATTTATTAAGTTGAGTTTTGTTTAATAAATAGTTGTTTTTTCTGTCAAGTGATGAACACACAAAAAGCCTGGAACAAAAGTGTTATTATTCCATCATAGGAAAACTGCAAAATTGCAACCATCAGTTGTTTTGATTATCAACAGATCTGACAATTATTTTGCATTATAAAGCAATTGTTCAGTGCATAAAATGTCAGTAAATAGCTAAAAGACAAAATAAAGACATCCTCAAATGCTTTTTTTTTATTTTTTTTTTTGAACAGAGGCCAAAAACCATTAAGTCTACCATCACAGAAAAATAGGAAACTCACAAATCTTCACACTGGAGAAGCTGCTGCCAGAACATTTGTAATATTTTTCTTAATAATTATATGTTTAATCAGCTGCGGTTAACATAATGAAACTGGATTGAACAGTGGGGTCAGTACGTTTGCTCCACGGGGCCCCACTGAGGCCACTTTTCAGCTGTGCTGTTAAACATATATTTCATTTTTTTAAACAACAGTTCAATTGAAGTCATTATAGTTTGCGTGTTACTTTTATTTTTTGATGACTTATAGGTTACAGTGGCTTCATTAACAAATTTCACGTGCGTTTTAACGCCAGGCAAATAAATGAAATAACAAATGTCCTGCAGTTGCGAACTCTTCCTGTTGCATTCTGTTGGGCTTCTTGGCAGCTCACACTCAGTGTTGCTGTAAATGTCAGCTAGTGAAGACAACCTCTAATCAATGACACGTGCAGACACAAACTGAGGCTGGACACACAGCAGAGTCTCAACAGTGGCTCCCTGGCAGGCAATTACTGTGTTTGGGAAAATAAATGAAATGACTAACAAAATAGGTCAAATTAAGTGTTTCCTAGACACACTAAAAAGACCCCCATAATTGCTGGTCCCTTCAGGGACGAAAATACAAAAACAACAAAACATTATATTGTATCGGCCTGATGACGAGGGAAGAGACGGAGCCGTGAGAAGGGACTGTGGCTGCGGAGGAGAGGCCGAGGGAAGAAAAGGACACAGCATGGCTCGTGTAATTGCATGTTTTGCCTCAATCGGAGATGTGTGTACCATCCGTCAATCAACGTCAGCAAGGAATCGAGCCAGTCATTGACTTTGTTTCTGCTGAGGAAAGGAAGAGCGTGGCAGCAAATCCAAAGGACACTTGCGTCACTCCCCCTCTGAATCAAACACTATATTGTATGTTGGCATAATACTGAGCTATGCCAGGATGGCCTCGGCTAGAAGAACCTCATTAGACATGGAGGATATGAGGAGGGAGACACATAAATCAATACAAAGGCCTTCTCTTCTTTTTTCATTTTACTCCACTCAAGCAAGTCAACCGCTCACTCGCACTGTAACCTCCAAGATGTTATCCAAGATAATCCACACATCCTCATGCTGCTTTAGTCACCAGAAAGTGGAGCAGGCAAATACAAATGTGCTCTCTATACACAAATGATTAGTTTATAGAATCGCCTTACAGACAATTTCCTGGTTCTACGAGGTCCACTGTTGAGACTAAATCTGCTGTTAAATAAAATTAGAGTGTGACTTCCTCTGTGACATTTGCTTCAGTGGAGTGGGGAGTGAATAAATGAATGTGTGGAAGATGGAGGAGACTCTTTGAAGTGTGCTGCTGATGAATCTGGTTAGAGGAGAGACTTTGAGACACAATGACATTTCCTCCATGGTGTGTGTGTATGTGTGTGTGTGTGTGTGTGTCGGGGAAGGGGAGGGGGGGTGGAGGTGGAAATTGCACCTCAGTGCTAAATGAAGCCTAAAGCTTTAATTAACAGCAGCACACAATAGGTGATGGACATTGGCCACAGTTCACAGCTCTCATGTTTCACTCCCTCACTCAGGGAAGTGTCTGGGAAATGCAGGCAGGTGTCAGGGAAAACAAAACAACACGAGAGCTGCCCACCATTGTGGTTAAATCGGCAGCACAGTCATTGTGATTTTCAAAGGGCACAGGCTGATCCTCTGCTCTATGCCTGACTAACACCCACCCCTGACAGAGGCTTTAAGGGAAAATCCACCCCGAAGATGCTTAAACACTTACAAAACAGCAAGTAGTGAAGCGTTTGACAATTCTGGACTTCTTGCAATACTTGACGGCCAATGATTGGCCGATCAAATAAGTGGCGAATTAGACTAGCTGATATGAGCACAGACACAACAGGTAAACATCCTGTAGGTGGATGTGAGTGAGTGAGTGAGTGAGTGAGTGAGTGAGTGAGTGAGTGAGTGAGTGAGTGAGTGAGTGAGTGAGTGAGTGAGTGAGTGAGGGGAACAGTGGAAACAAAATCTGCCACAGTGGTCTGTAATTGCTCACTGGGAGGCTACAAGGTTAACGCTGGTCGAGACAGAACAATTCAGAGACATACTTTGCTTTGGCAAAAGCTCAAGGCTGCAAAACCCGCTCTGCTATTTCTTCACAGTCCAAACAATAAACTGAGCTTGTAGAAAAAGAGCTGAATGAACCCTGAATAGGACGCCTGTCTTTCATTTCATTGGAATTAAACGGTCTCAATTAGGGCCCGACCGATATGGATTTTTTTTGAGGCCGATGCCGATTCTGATATTTGGCAAAAAAAATAAAAAATTCCGATAACTGATTCATCAGCTGATTAATTTAAAAAAATATATAATGAATAAAAAAGCTTCTTTTTTGGTCCCGTAAATCTCACAACAACAAAGATATGAATCACAGGCAGGACTTTTTACTGTTCTACAATACTTTGTCCTCTAGTATTTGGTTAACTTGACCACAGACAGGAATTTTCAAGAACAAAAACATGCAACAAAGCGTTAAACATGATAAGCATCAGTTAAAAAAAAAAAAACTTTTCCAAACCAATATGTTTGTAATGTGGGGTATTTTATTTTAAATTTGCACTCTGCATTTTTCTTCCTATGGAGCATGAATACAGCTACCAGTTATACTGATGAATTTATCTTTAGCTTTAGGCCGTAGGTGTCTGCTGTATATATGCAAAGTAATGAGTGAAGTTACTGGCAAAACATTATTTATGCAGCACTCTGATGTTCTGGACTCTCAAAGACTGTGCTGTCTTTAAAGTTGATGAGAATAAGTTAATAAAAATGTAAGTTAAATAAGTTAGTTAAAAAGTTGGATAAAAAGTTTAAAAGCTGTTTTCTGTAGTTCTGTCACAGTGAGGCTCTGCGCGCTGTTTTGGTTTCAGACTTTGCGGCAGAGTGAGAGATATCACTGCTGAACGGTCGTAAACTATCTTAACTCTTCGTCATCTCCTGAGCCAAGTTTGACTTGTTTCCAACAAGCAGCAGCAAAAACGGAGCTTTTCGTGGTGTTGCTGAAGTGTTTTACACGCTTTTGCCTTGAAGAATATTTTTCTTTTTACAAAATCATATTGTACAAAATGAATGTATGAAAGTGACTGTGACACTAAACAGCATTTACTGTTTTATGAGAAATGAAGAATATATCGGCGATTACTCGGCAAAACTCCGGCCAATAATGAGTATTTTGAAAAGGGCTATAATCGGCTGATTTAATCGGCTAGCTGATAAATCGGTCGGGCCCTAGTCTCAATGTAAATCACTGACACACTTGTGGTCTTAGTGCACACGATGAGTAACCTCTGGCTTCATTCACAACCACAAGAACTGCTCTGATCTGTCTTCGTTCTGATGAGCAAATCCACTCAAAATCCATCTTACAGAATCACTGACTCTTCATAATATAGTGAAATGGTTCTTTTAAATTAACTGTGTAAACATACAATAGATTGAAAAGCTCGATATTAATTTTCAGTCACATCCAGCCTGTGCGTGGACACTTGTGAGGGCTGAGCTCCGTCTGGTGGCCCGCTCACTGCAGGGGAGAGGAGGGGACGGACACCTGCACAAGCACATAAACACTCATTGAACAATCCGTGCCGTCACTTTTCATCCACAATACAGCCGGTAAGAATGATTTTGTGAGATCAGTGACATCATGATGTCACATTATATTTTCACTGAACTTGAAAAAGGGCAACATAACAAGACATACAGTCACAGAATCACATAAAGTGGTCAAGATCAACTTCTCCATCATTTTTTAAAATGATGACATGACCAGGACACAAGTAGGTTTTTTTTACATGTTGCTGACACCATGTTGAAACTAATGAAATTGCAGCAGGGGCCAGAAGGATACAAGAGATCCATGTTATGGAGAATTAGCTCATGAGGTGAATAGTTTGGCTTCAATATGAGCTGCTTACATGCACAGCAGGATCTGTGGCAAAAGTCCACAACATCACATTTACACTACCTTTGAACAAGGCCAAACATTTAAGTCACCCTATAATACACTCCTAACCTATGTTCACAATTTTGTGAAAAAAAAACAACAAACCCAGCAAAGTTGTGTCAGTCAGTTTTGCTGTTCAGAGTGATTAACATTCTGTAATGGATGTCTTTCATTAAGCTAATGAGGCAGTCCTCTGATGAAATCACACATAAGACAAGAAAGCACTGATAGAGTGGGCAGAACAGGCATGAATAAGTAACAACGATCATGTTTAACGTGTCACCAAACAGTCCTTATAGATGCATTACAGCCCACAGAAAGGAACTGACCAGTATTGTGCTGGGACTCCAGTGCACCCCGCCGTTGCAGCAGGATCCTTTGCAGCTCCTCGTCGCGGGTTGCTGATGGAGAAGCTGCCTTTGGTTTGGGGGGGGTTCTATTGAAATTCTCCTGGACAGTTTAATAAAAACATATACAGATGGCCTTGTCAGAAAAACAGACATTACAGCTCAAAATGAGTCAATTATTAAAAAACTAAGAATTTTAAGTTTGGGTTGTGACTTTAGCTGGAGTGGGTGTTTAACAGAACAACAGGAACAGAACATGTTATATGTTCATCTGCTATACCTCGTATGTAAATATTGATTTAAGCTCTCTAAAGGCTGCAGTAGCCCTCTGTGTAAGGGACAACATGGAACTCTTTTGTAGCCTTTGTAGAATTTTCTTATGTGGTGAGCATATATTATATGATATGGTGGAGTGTGAACACAGCATAGCAAAGAGTGTAGAAACACAGTGAAAGTTCAACTAGTAAAAAATACTGTGAGAACATTTGATTGTTTTAAAGTCCCATTACCATGATTCCTTTAAGTTCCTGAATGGCAGAATTAGAGGGCAGCCTCTCCATCTGATAAAAGGAAAATAGGAGGGAAAAGATGGGTTTGGTAAATAAACAGCAGTCTGACACATTATACTTATTTTTCCTCATTCAGCACTTAGAGGCTAAACTGCACCTCTTACCACAAAGACAAGACACTGTATTCAAGCATGAGGATGTATGCTTTCTACAAGAAGCAAATGTGTCAACGCACAATCATTTTGAGTCACGTCAATTTTCCCATCCTCATTATTTATAATTACCTTGTAGAGCAGGTCCTAATGCTATCTAATTTGGCAGAGTTGTTGAGTCGAAGGAACAAGCAGACTAAAAATGTCTTGGCCATATGTCATGTTTTATCAAAACAATAAGCTCTTAGATAATCCCACACACTGATGGATTTAAGAGCCCTGAACAATATAACCTCAACAATGTACAAAAAGCTCACTCAGGCCTCCGAACGCTGGATGTCTGCAATCGGTGGTTTGGTTCAGTGATTTCATCAAAAATGAAAACACATTTTCTCTCAAAGTCACACACATCCATTATCCGTCCATCCCATTCACCCATGGCGCTCCAGTTTCACGTTTTCATGTCTTTTGTCTGTCTTCAGTTTTTAGTATTCACAACTCTGCAGTTTGATCTGGACTTTTTTTTCTGCAGGTGGCGCTCTTTTTTGTTTGTATAACTAATAAAATGTTTATGTTAGTCCAAATAATATTTTTTTTCCCCAGACCAGACACAGAATGTTTACAGCTTCACTGTGTTGGCTCATAAAACGACCAGTAGCTGTGTACTGAAAATGTGAGAGGTCCTCTGTCCAACTACTTCAAGGCTCAGAGCATCATGAACCCCATCACACTTTGACAGAAGGTTTGCTCTGAACTTACAGGAAACCACTGACATCCACCAGTCTAACAATCCCATATTTACTTCAAGCTGGACAAATAGTCACTGTCTATTTGCCTCTCTTCATTATTATTTAGACAGTGCCAATTCTGTTGTGAATAAAAATTTAAAATGTTTTATTGTTTATGTCAAACATACTTTATGAAATGCTGGGAGGGATACAGGTGACAAATTAAAGGAAAAAAACAACAAAAGATGTCCTAAGGTTATAAGGTGTAAGGTATTAGGCCAACATGTGCTGCTAGAACAGCCTCAATGCGCCTTGGCATCAACTCTCCAAGTAACTCTGGTGCTCTACTGGAGGGATGGACCACCACCATTCTCTCATTTGGTACTGAGCACTGTCTGACATGTCATCCAAAATCTCCCATTGCTGGTCAGTTGTGTTCAAATCTAGTGATGTGAAGACCATAGCATATCATTTACATAATTTTCATGCTTATCCAACCATTCAGTGACTCCTCGTGTCAAATGGGGGGAGCACTGTTGTCATCCCAGGAGAGACCACTCCCACCAGGATGGAAATGTTTCATTATAGGATAAAAGTGATTACTCAGAACAACTTTGTATTGATTTGCAGTGACCCTTCCTTCTAAAGGGACAAGTGGCAGAAAAATGCCTCCCACTGCATAACAGAGTCAGCAGATCCCCCCTCTGTAGGGGTCAAGCATCCAGGCCTTTATTCTCTCTCAGTGCACACCACATATGCGCACACCCACTAGTGGACAACATATTGAAGAATAGCTCCTCTGATCCTATCACTTTTTTCCCCTACATGTCTGGAGACCAGTGTCTGTGGTTTATGCACTGCTGAACTCTCAAATGCGGATTCATCTTTGTAATGAGGATTCATGACTCTGTACTCATACAACATCCTTCTCTGGGACATTGTTGACGACTGTTTTTGCCGACAGCCTGATCATATCCTGCAATGACATTCTAAGTCAGCTGAGGAAGAGCTTTCCTCACATATCACACTAATCTACGAGCATCAGGTTATCAAATGTTGACCACAAGTTGCATCCCTGCTTACAGAAGTCTTTCACATAGATCAAAATGCATCAGTTACGACCATCACTTTGTCAACAACATTACATTCTATAACTTCCCAATAGTAAACAAGGATATAAGCAAAATGATGTATGGACTTTACTCTGAGGTTAACATAGTTCACATACATT